TAGATGCAAAAATTCTTGCAAACCACATACAGACACACATCAAAAAGATCATCCACCATGATCAAGTCGGCTTTATCCCAGAGATATAGGGATGGTTCAATATATGTAAGTCAATAAATATCATAAATCATATATATGGGCTCAAAGACAAGAACCACATGGTCATCTCAATAGATGCACAGAAGGCCTTTGACAAAATCCCACATGCATTTATGTTCAAAGTCCGAGAGAATTGGACTGGAGGGTACACACCTCAACATAATTAAAGCCATATATAACAAACCCACAGTCAACAACATTCTAAATGGAGAAAAACTGGAAGCATTCCCATTGAAATCAGGAACCAGACAGGGCTGTCCACTATCTCCATTTCCACTCCTTTTTAACACAGTGCTTGAAACTCTTGCAAGAGCAATAAGACAAGAGAAGGAAATTAAAGGAGTAATAATTGGAAAATGAGATAAAATTATCCTTTTATGCAGATATGATATTACATCCAAGGGACGCCAAAAATTCCACCTGAAAACTCCTAGAAATTATTAACATGTTAGAGAAGAACAGTAGGAAACAGGCCTTAATAAGGGAGATATGGATAATGGAGTTATTTTAAGGGGATGGGGGAGGGAAGGTTATACAAGGAACCTAGGTGACAAAGGGTAAGAAGGAGGTCAATCTCGGAATAAACTTGATGAAAGACATTAAAGAGCTCTACAACACAAAGTTGAATATTGTCTTTCCATTCTTGATAGTTTGAGTCACAGTCTTACATACCAGCTACATGTGCCAGCTCTTTGAGAGATATTGTTTGTAATAGCATTGTTAAGTCTAAGTCTTAGTTCACAGACCAGATTAGTATTTAAACACACACACAGACTCAGACACAAACAGCAAAACTTGTAATCCTGATTATATGGATGGAGGAGGATTCTTCTGCAGGACAATTTGATGCATTCAGTACCTTACCTGATTTGGTAGCTTAAATTTATAGCAGGTTTTGAATAGCTGTAGGTTAGTTTGTAGTTTAGCTACAAACAAGATGAGACAGACACATGTAGCTGTTCAGTAGTGTTTAAGTAGCTTATTTTCTCTTAATGTCACCAATAAAAAGTTGTGGCAGGAAGGTTGTAACATTGATCTTTTCGCCTCATTGGTTTCAGTTTGTAAAATGGCTTTTTTTTTCTTTTTAACGATTGTTTTTAGGTGGTCTTTCTTTACCTTTTATTTTTAATAACCCTTAAGAGAATGAAATAGTAAACTTCAGTGTTATTTGATTTTTCAACATGTAAAACT